AAAATCGAACACATCGCCCCTCCTCTTTGGCTTCCTCTGAACGAAAAAAAAATGCAAACACCCTCCGAGAGCTGTTGGGGCTTCCCGTGATGCTTTACAGGGTGAAAATGAGCTTTTGTATGACTGCGCTATGACTTTCAAGCTGGGTATTGTCGTTCAACGGGAAGAATTGCCCTAAAACTTTCAAGCTGGGTATTGTCGCACTACGTAAAACCTCCCCACAAAACATACGAAAAAGAAGCTCCCGTCAATCCATGGCCCTTCAAACCGGGAAAACTGCTTCGCTCAGCGGCAGCAGGGGGAAGAGCAGGAAGGTCACCACGCCCTCCCAGACCTCGCCTGAAAACAGCTCGGCGCGGAAACCGAAAAGAAGAACCCCAAAAAGAACAGACACCATGTGTGTAATCACATTTGGCCCCATAAATGGAATATTCTCATTGACCCAGTTGGCTGTGCCGGTGGTGCAATCGATTTGGAGGCCCAGTCGCAAATGTCCGGAGAGAAGACCATCAAGATGAACAGCAGCCACACGTACGCGAAGATGGAGAAGCTCGCCGTGATGGCGTACACCCCGGTCTCCTGCGAAAAAATAAAATAAAACATCAGCTTCCCAGCAAGTAGCTTTTGATACGGTGGTCAAAACCCACCAAACGGGGTCCACCTCCCCACCCACCAGTTTCTTTTGTTGATCATTGTTAGTGGTGGTTTGGATTGGCTAGTGGTTGGGATTGGTGGCTAGGTCCTCCAGTAGAGAGGTTAGAATAAGGGTACCAACTTTTTTTCTGCAGAATGTTTTAGTAGGGGAAAGCTCCCAACCAAAAAAAGGTGAGAAAGGGCACTACTGGGCGGGTAGTAGAAATTGCACAGTGGCTCCATTTAGAAACAGAAACCAAACGACCAATGAACACCCGGCTACGGGGTGCCAAGGACAAGGGCGTCGGAGGTCTCGATTCCTCTCAATACTACAATTGCCCCAAACATATGCTTGGGCAAAGCAACATAGGTCCTCCAGTGGTGAGAGGTTAGTATAAGGGTACCAACTTGTTTCTGTAGTCTGTTTTAGTAGGGGAACCCTCCCAACCAAAAAAGGATGAGAAAGGGCACTACTGGGGGACCTACTGTAGGTGGTTTTGGAGGTTGGGATGGTGTCCCATTTACTCTCAAAACCAGGGGGGGCAAATCCCCAAACCACCAATCCAAACCACCAATTCGAGGTTACCTGAAACAAACCTGAGACCGTTGGTACCTTCTCCTGAGGACATTCACTTGGCTGGGGCATGTTGCTTTAGCGCGGTACCTCATGCAGTTGGTCCAGTCAAACAGTCACCAGCTGATTGAAAGGAGCCAAATCCTTGTACAAGCAGATAAATTGGGTTGCATCCTTCTCCCGACATCCTGTTTCATTAACCCAATATCCATTCCAGGCGCCTGCGTGTGCCTCTTCAAGAGGGTCGTCCAAACCAGCCAACCGTCCATGTTACCTGCAATTAAAAGGTGAACTTTTTGGAACCTTGACTAAATATGGACCGAATCAGGGAAGGCAAGCGGTGAGATTCAGGTCGGTTCGCCACAAAGGCGAGTGAGCCAAAAAAGTGAGCTTCAGATCACCCCAAAAGGAGCGGAAGTAGGGCTGGAGCCGGGACTAAATTTGGGTGTCTTTCTTTTTTCAAGGGACCCTTCCAAAATGGCGGTGCTCCTTGTGGGTTCCTTTGAAAGCCCCAAAAACGGGCGCCCCCCAAAAAGACAGACCCAACAGGATCCCATGCTATACAAGGTTCAGAAAGTGGGTGCCAATGAGTTCCATTTTCTGCACCTGAGATAAAGTGAAACATGATTTGTACCCCTTTTAGGGTTGGCTTAAAGGGGAACAAACGAAAACCGAAGTCATTTAAACAAAAACACCCGGTTTGAGAAGCCCTCAAAATGATTACTTCGAGAAATAAAGATCAAGGATCCTTGTTTCACCGCATTTTAGCTTTGAGAGAGCCTGAGGATCGGTGTCCAAATCTCTTTCTCGAACCACTTTCGCGGTTTCATCATGGCCTCAAGCTTGGTTGACTTTGGAAGGGGCGCAAACAAAATAATGTTTAGCAGTTCAGTGGATGTGGATTTCAACCCCTAAACCACAACAAGCAAAAATGGGCCAAATGTTTCCCAACAACCAACAACCACCCAAGCAAAAAGGCATTTTTGTTTCATGTCCGACCACTTTCCTGGTTTCATCATGGCCTCAAGGGACTTGTCCCCGCACCGAACGGTCCTTGATGTATCTCACCTCCCCGTCCGGGATCGAGCACACGCACACCGCGCTGATGATGAGGAGGTTGAAAGCCGCGCTGCCCACCACAGTGCCCGAGCCCAGGTCGCCTATGTACATCTCGTTGCTCCTAGGCGGCGTAAAACCGGAAAAATCGATGGGGGGTTCCCCCGTGTTTTTGTTTCTTCTTCTGGGAAGCGGTGTATAAATCCATCACAAACCAGTGGAACCCGTTTCCTGGGAAGTGGTCTGTGAAGCCAAAGTCGAAACCAGTGGAACCCACGCAGAGCGGTTGCAAAAACCGCTGGCTCAAAGGCCTTCGCCTTGCAACCCGCAAATGAACAGAAGGAATCAAAAAGGTAATACCCCAGGAGATTCCGTCCCGAAGGTCGTTTGTTGGGTTCCATGCGAATCTGAAAGGGAAAGTGAGCGAGAAGCCAAACGTGAAAAGTGAGAAAAGGCAATCCGGACTCTCAAACACCACGGGCGACCATGGGGCAGTGCCTCCAAACGGGCAAACCAAGGAAGGGAAACGAAAGCCGAACAGCTCGCACATTTGGTCTTCGCTTGGCTTGGAAGCCAAAAAGCAAGAAAGCATTAAAGACAAAACGGCAGACCACTGAAGGAAATTGCAAAAGAGGCGGATTCGCCTTTGGATTTTCTGATTCTGTTCCTTCCCCCCCCTCCCCTCCCCACCCCCAACCCCTCCACCCCCAACTTCCCCACCCCATCCACCCCGCCGGCCCCCCCCAACCCCCCCGCAAGAAAATCAAGTCGTCAGACTAGGCCATGGCGCATGATCTCGATGATGCTCAGCAGGATCTCCGGGGCACTGGAGCCCAATGCCATGAGGGTGAGGTTCGCCATGGTGTCGTTCCTCAATCCCGGACTCGCGAGTTGCGGCTCCACGCGTGGTTGGCTTCCCTCCCACGGACTGCCAGCAGTCACCCCCTTGGGCATTGGGGGGGTCAAGTCTGGGCAACGAAGATAGGTACACCGCAAAGAAAATGCTTGATACCTGGGGCAATCAATCATGGTGTGGGCAACTGGGTGGAATGAACTTGGAGATCCCCGAAAAGAAACCATAACTGGGCTGCCCTCAGATCCCCCGCTAAGAGTTTAACTTCTAGTGGGTCAAATGGAAATCCCCACTAAACACTAAAAAGCTCAGGAACCGGATGGCTGGGAGCCACCAAGATAAGGGAGTCATTTTCCATGCACCTCAACAACCCGCTCGGTTGGGGGGGGGGGGTGCGATCAGCCTGGCCGTGGTGCCACACTGTCTGTGTCACGATCTTCCCTGACTTCATGCGCACCCGCTTCTTCTGAGAGGTGATCCTGGCCGTATGCCACTCAGTTGTTCAGTGACCCTGGAAAAAAAAAAGGAACCCTTTTTGGGGCTTGGGCCATTTTTAGTGGGCCCAAAAAAAAGAAGGAAAAAGAGTGCCACTGAACAACGGAGGCAGGATTCGCTGGATCCAAGGGTGTTTGTATTACAGCCTGGGAATACACCCACGTATTGACACCCATTTAGGCACATGTCTGGAGAAAACCGTGTTATTTTGAACCATCCTGGGTCATTTCCCAAGGGTGTAATACAAAACCCTCAGACTTGAGAACATGTGGAAGCCTGAATGCATAAAATCGGGATTTGGGGGGGATACTTTGAGACAAAACTTACCCATGATAACCTATGAGCGCTTGTTTGCCCCCCTAGGTTAAACGAGCGTATGCTCGCCGACTCTGACCCAAGGGCGAACTGAGGGTTTCAGAAAGGGGCTTGGGATAGCCTCCAACAGCCCCTCTTGGAGGTTGAAACCATGGGAAACCAACGGGAGGCGGACTAAACGTGGTTCGCATGTCCCCCGCCGCAAAAAAGAAGAAAGAAGAAGAGCAAAACATGAACAAATAATGAAATAGAAATGATAGAAGATAACTTCGGAGCAGAGACAGAGGAAAGTAGTCTTTCTAATTCAAACCGGAGCGGGGGGGTGTTCGGATTTGGGGCGAGTCCTCTCGATGGCATTCATAAAAATGTCCGACACCACCGCCACGCCGAGGAAGCAGTAGAAGAGACCCAGCACGTAGAGAAAGATCCGGAGCCCATTTGGCCAGTTCTTCTCCTCCTCACCAGGGGTTGATTGCGCGGCAAAGAATGCATGGGAGCACTTCAAAAGGGGAAACGAGACTCAAAACCCACTTTTTGCTTGGGGGATCCCCATCAAAAGGAGGATTCTTGTTTGGTATGCTTTGATTCGCTGCCCAGAACGCACCCCGTTGGGCCAGCCGGGACTTCGTTCGCATCTGAGAAACCTCGGACTCTCCAGCCTCACCAAAGGCAGGGAGCCACATATAATCCTCCACACATCGGAATGTCATTGCCGGAGCCGAGAAAACTCCTCCTCCTGCCCCTATGGGGCGAGAGGAGTGCCACTCCCAGCTTGGGCATGAAATGGCGATCCAAACATGCAGTGCGAATTCATCGAGGGAGCCCAAAGGGGGAGCCCTTGTAAGAAAAGGGGAGTGGTGGTTCGATCAGTGAATCTGCAGGGCACAGCCACAAGTCCTGCAAGCAAGACTTCAAGAAGCAAGAGCTTCACACCCGAGTAAAAACCCTACATCATGCGTTTTGATCGTTCACCCCCGAATCGGTCGCACCGAAATATGGCTCGCCTGATTCGACGACCAAGCACTCACCTGAAAACGTGCACATCTCGCATGGAAAGCGAAACTGCCAAGGAGCAAAGGCTTCCAAAAGTTGGCTCATGATCTTCATCTTCTGCCATTTGGGCTCACCTGAACATCTGACGGTCCGAGGCAGAAGCCGAGCGAAAGACCCAAGCCGGAAGCAGGGATCCGGATGCATTATACACCCGAACATTGCAACTTGTAAATGGTGGGTTTCCCTTTATTTTGGTGGGTTTCCCTTAAATGGTGGGTTTCCCTTAAATGGTGGTGTCCCTTTATTTTGGTGTTGAAAAAGCAACATGTTTCAAATGGGCATGTTTCAAATGGTTGCAAAGTGTATCTTTTAAGGAGCCCTGCGGAAGTTTTTGCTGACGAACAGCCAATCCTCCAGGTCGCTCGCTCGGAGTGGGAATTTTCGCTGGACCCCCCCCCCCCCGAATGGCGGGTGGCTTCCATTTTGGGTTTCCCAAATGAAACGCACCAGCAGGGTGTTTCAAAAAACACCCCGCAAACCGACAAGCAACAGGCAGGGGGTCCAAAATAAGGTACAATCCAACAGTATCCAACAGAGGGTTCCCAACAGGAACTCAAGCCTAAAAGCAACCTACAAAGGGTTCCAAAAAAATGAATCTAACACCAACCCACAAAGGGTTCCAAAGAATGAACCCACAAATCAAAACCAGCCAACAGAGAATTCTCGCAAAAAGCCCGCAAATCTAACACCAAACAACAGGGGTTCCAAAAAAATACTACATCTAAAAGCAACCAACAAATGATCCCCAAAAACCAACCAACATATTTAAAACCAACCTAAGGGCTCCAAAATAACCTCAGGCCTCAAATCGACCAACCAAGGGCCCCCCACAAAAAGAAGCACGAGCCTAAAGCCAAGCAACAGAGGGCCGACGAACAACGAGCCCAGAAATCGAGATAGTTCCCACGCCCCCACGCCCGGCTTCCCCGAAACGAAGCATAGGAATCGGGAAATCTGACGACCGGACCTGGCCAAGGGCACCTTTTGCTTTGACGGGCCGATGTGCTTCAAAACTGGCAGACATGTGAGAAGCACACGCCTGCAAATATCTTCCTCCATTTGCTTAAGTCCCCCGGAAAAAAAAAAAATCCAGTAGTGATAGGTTCCCTTTAAAACCAACAGGGGAAAATAACAAATCTTCTTGACCAAATGGAAGTATTGAATCGCCATAAGTTGCGTAAGCACATGAAACAGACAAACAATTACTAGCTGGCCTGGAACTTCAAAGCGCAGGGCCGTCGATTCCAGATTCTCCTAGCCAAGAGGTCGCTGATGGCAGGGGAGGGAGGGAAAGGAGAAAATTATTCTTACCCGCCCGCTTGGCGTGAGACGAGGGGATATATTCGTGGGGGCTGAGGGGTCACAACGAGCCATGCGGGTGGTGGAATGTCGGAAACAATTGCATGTGTGTTTGCTTGATTGCGCGCGCGGCTCGTCTCTGTCTGGTTGATCGTTGTTGTTTCTCTCTTTGTTTTTGGTTGGGACTATCCCTACCCCTTTTATCTACCCGTTTTTTGAGGGCATGTCCCATGTCCTGGGACAGCTCATCCGCATGGGTCTCTGCAAAGAAAACCGTTTGCTGATGGCTTCGCCAGCGGGAGGGGATATTTGGGGGTAGAACTTTCATAACATAACATGCCTATGGGGTCTTGGGCTCGCAAGAAAAAAATGTGTTTTCTTCTTTAAACAAAAATGGTCTGCTTGCAAAAAAGGGAACGGAGCAAACCCAAAAAGCGTCCTTCCCAGCAAGACATGTGTGAAGAAGTCACCTGCTCAGGTGCCGACTGGGAGGGAGGCTCCCCGATGAACTCGCGCACGTGGGCTCCTCGAGGCGCAGCACCAGGCAGCGCAGCGCGAAGCGGCACTCCACGTGGCGCCACCAGGCCGCGTCTGTGGCGAAGCCGTCGGTGTGGGTGAGCTCCTCAGCTCAAGGGTTGGGGTTCTGCAGCCGGAATTTCCGGCCAAGTAATTCATAGAACCGCTTCCTGAAAAACATGTTACTTTCTGGGCTCATGGGTTGATTGGCCAGAACAAGTCCAAACCTATGGTTTACCTCTAAATTGGTCTTCCCAAAAAGATTAAAAGTTCATGAGCTCAGGGAATGAGTCTGGGAATTTGGTCGAATTGTTCGAGACCCGGCAAAATGCGCAACACACGTCGTCTCTCCTCCTGGAACTCCGCCACCACTAGGGACAGTTCAGGACAGGAGGCCCCCAGCTCTTGCATGATGTCCTCCACCTGAGACAATCGCGAGCTTTTTACCCTAAGCCAGAAAACTGAAAACACGCAGAACAGTAAAGTCCTCTACTTCTGGGTTCCCAAAGTTGTTTCATGCTTAAAGGCCATACATGGGCTTTGGTGCGACTCGCTTGCACTCTGGGAAAACCGGGCTCAGTACACTTTTCAGCCAAGTTTACTTGAAATGGAGGCCAAAAGGAAACCCGGCTTTCCTTTCTTGGGGGGTTTTGACACACACCCATACATGATTTCCTTTGTGCCTGCGCTAAATCCTTTGTGCCTACAAAGGAACAATACATGAGAAGGCATCTTGGAGCTACGTTCCGCTTCTTACAGGATCCCGTTCCGTTCGCGAGGATCTAAATGACAGTCATAGGCTTATAGGTTTTCCCTCTCAGCTACAAGCGGGTTCCCACCCAACTGCAACTTTCCAAAAGGAAATTGAAGAAACCCTGTACGATGGCTGTCTTGAACCCTCAAAGGTTTTCATGAGTTCCGCCGGTCCCGAGCCGTAGCTGGCTCGGAGTCCCCACACGAGCCAACCCGAAACGCGCACCAATCCGAAACCAGCCAACCCTGAACCACCCTAAGCCAGAGAGGACAGCGGAGCGTGGGGAGCTACTTGTCTGACCTACCATCAGCGCCTAGAGTCATCACAACCGATAGGGCCACCCACTCCCTCCCCTGCCACCATCACACTCATTGTTCTCCTTGTGCCTGAGGATCCCCCTGGCCCCGCCCACTCCTGAGCGCCCCCCCCTCTTCCATACACTGCTTAGAGCTTTGGCGGAGTCACCCAAAGCCATACCTGCCATTTGCTTAAGCCCCTGAAAAAAATAATATGTCCAGTAGTGATAGAATCCCTTTCAAACCAACAGAACAGGGGGAGAAAAAGAAAAAAAGGAAGAAAAAAGCACCCTTAAGCAACTGGAGGCTACCGGGGCCCTCACCTCCGCATCAGACTTCGATCCCTTCGAGCTCGAAGCGCTCGAGCCGTTCGGAACTCGTGTGGGTCCTCGGCCTCGCTTGACCTCCGGGGAAAAATGGGACCGGCGCCCTCGCAAAGCTTCCTTCTGCTTTGGTAAGAGGGTGGGTTCCTATTCTTCTTCTTCTTCTTCTTCTGCTTCTTCTTCTGCTTCTGTTTCTGCTTCTGATTCTGCTTCTGCTTCTGCTTCTGCTTCTGCTTCTGCGTCTGCTTCTGCGTCTGCTTCTGCGTCTGCTTCTGCGTCTGCTTCTGCGTCTGCTTCTTCTTCTGCTGCTTCTTCTTCTTCTGCTTCTTCTTCTTCTGCTTCTTCTTATTCTTCTTCATCCTCTTCTTCTCCTTCTTTTGGAGGTTGATGGGGCAAACAAGCGGAGGGGTTGTCCAGGCTGCTCTCTTTTGGAACCTCTGCAGGGGGTGCAAAACATGATTAGGCGCAAAAACCAGGGCCTTCACATTAAACTCGTGTCTAGGCTGAAATTAGGACCCCAGCAAAAAATAAATAGATGTTGCCTCGTTGGTGGAAAACAAAGGGAACCCCAAAAAAAAAAAGAAAAAGAAAAAGGGGGAGCTAATTCTGGGGAAGGTGTAGTGTGTAAGCCTTATTTGTAGAAGCAAAAACTTATACATTTTGTCTGAGAATGGGGGAGGCGCCAAAAAATTGGCAAGAGTTTGCCCTTGACAAACCCCGAAATCCAGAGAGAGCACCTGGACCCTCAAACACTCCTCAATCATGAGAAACTGGCCTATCAGGTTGGGGCCATATCCAATTTCAGGGTACTTTACCTGCTAAAAGTTTTTAACTTTTTGGTGGTTTAATGGAAAACCCATTAGTTGCCACAAAGTTAAAGTCCTAACATCCAAGCAAAATCCACCAAAGCTTAAGTGTCGACTCACAAGAAATGCAGATGCCCCTCCCGCTTTCCCGGTGCAGGGCATTTAAAGCAGAAGGCGCAGTCTCCTTTGCGTGCGAAAGGGGATGACAAAGCCAAAATGTGGTTTGACCGACACTGCATACCCGGACATGGTTGTGGGAACCAGCCTCTCTAGCCCAAAATCGGCCATACCCATGGCTACTTTATCACGCTAGGGTTCGGTCGGCCGCACAAAACCTACCTGAAAGGGGAAGGGTCCTCCAATTCCTTTTGTCTAGTCTTCCCCATAAACAAAAATGGAACCATATGGAGATCTCGGGGGTCGAAATCCCCCCTCCCCCAATTCCATGTTTAAGGGGGTGGGGATACAGCGTTCCTTAAACGGAACGTTCAAAAAACCACCCACAATACAATCCTCGAGATCAGATGAAGGTGATGTTTGAATGCCCCAATCCTTTTTAAAGGTATATCTTAAATGGCCCCAATGCTTTTTTTTTTGAGGTGAGGTTTGTGTTTGTTAAGGTATCCTTTTTACGGGCCCCTGGCACACTGAGACCGCATCTCCCGATCGCCTGCGGCCTTGCGCTGTGCCAGGTCCGCACCATGGCTCATGTCAAAAGAAGAAGCGACTGTTTCGGGATTCGGGTCGCGGGTCTGGGGGGGGGGGGGTCCACTTGAGTCTGCCGTTCTTTTTTGGAGAATACGCAATTGTCTTCGGCCTTTTCAAGGGAAACCAGTAGCAAAACCGCGAAAATGTTGGGGCCCTATGAGACAAACCCATGTTGGTAAGACATCCTCATAATTATTCTCTAGGTGTTCATTCAAAGGGATTTGTGCCGATGGCGGGATGAGAGTTGTTGATGGAGGAACTGTGAACTCCTCCACAATTAGATTCACTCGATCTGCTGTTCATTGGGTTTATGGGTGGATGCCAAAGCAACACAATTGAGCTGGCGGCATTTTGGGCATGAGCAACCCTGTTGTTGCACCTGGCGATGTCGCGCCACCTCTGCGCTCGGCTGTCCCTGGCTTGGTAGCCGGTTGGGCAAGTGTGTCGACCTTGGTCCTGAAACAGCTCAAACAGAACCAGCACGGCCAAGTGCAACTCGTTGAAATTGAAATAATCGATACTTGGCATTGGAAAAACATGAGGCGGCCGAACCTATTTGGCTCTCTCTGCCAACCACCAACCTTCATCTCGCAAGGTATTAATTACTCACGTGACTCAATCCCAATGCTCCCTATATCCCCCATTAAAACATCACCCAGAGACACTCAGCTTTCATGGGCCAAAAATGTGATGCTTAAACCCACCCAAAAAGGAACTATAGGAACTCCTAAATCACCACAGACCTTGGCAAGCACGCTCATTTCTCTTGCGCAAATCGAAGGCCGAAGCGCCGTTCATTCTTGCCCCGTTGCACGGCCGCAACGAAAAGCACATGTTCAAAACTGACATATGGCGAAGCTTCAGGCACCTTCCGCGCAGAATATCAGATCCCAAGTGATCAATCTGATCTCAAATTGCTCGGGTGACTTCAGGGTAGGCCTTGCGCAGTTTCTGGGCATCCTATAGGGGATACTTGTGCCTACATGGAGTCTCACTGCTTTTGAACCCCCCCCCATGAAAACCCCATAGTATGATAGCGCTGGAATGGCAAATGTTTGCTTGACTCAGGCGTCCGACGCCACCGTCAGGCCTCCTGCAACGCGTGTGGCTTGTCCGTACGACAAGGAAGAGTCGCTAGCCGCTGACGGTAAGACGCCACTGATAGGAAAGAGGGGCGACCTACAGTAGTTCCACATATCAAGTTTTTCACCCGAGGGGAAGATGAAATTGATGAAACCATTGAATATCTCTCGTCGCTTTTCCCCCCTCCCCCTCACCAGTTTTACTTAAGAAACTATTCAATGGAGATGCAGAAAAGATCGTGCTTCCCCCTCCCCGAATCAGCCAGTGTTTGCCCAAAGCCGGGCATGGAACATGTGCTAGCCCCCCCCCCCCCCCGGCCGAGACTAAGCCTCACACTCCTCCGCCCACCTGTCGGGCGCCAGTGAGTCTCTCACGCAAGCCCAGACCTCCAATGAATGCAAAAAAAACGCATGTCCTCTTGGTTGAAAATTCAACTTAAGGGGAGCCCCTCCAACACGGGAAGGTAAATCCCACTGGACTGGGTGGCGAAAAGAGATGCCACGGCAGAAGTGATTCAATCCCTCCCAGTCGGTTCAAGTGTCCCGCGCCTGGCTGGAGAGGAGCGAAATCAGATCCGGGTTGGAGAACAAGTCCATCAACTCCTCAAATGCGTCAGGCCTTGCTCACATCCCCAAACTGTAGATACCACTTGCCTGCACTCCGTTCGCACTCATTTAGCGCTGAAGGAGCAATCCACAGAGGCACCCCTTTTGGCCAACTTTGCTGCGGGATGTGATTTAGACAAGGATGGGAAAGTCTTACCTGTGGCGGCAAAAAAAATGCGACATACATCTTCCGCAGTCCTTGCTGGACATGCCGTCCTCCTTCTCCGCCTCAGCCTGTAGCAACGCGCTTCTCCAAAGAGAACTCTTGGACTCAAACATCTCCACACCCCTGTGCGAACGCCCCTGTGCGAATGCCAGAACGCCCCTGTGCGAACCCTGCGCCCCGATTCTTTGGGTCGGTTTAGATAAGCCATCAGCTTCTCAACATTGGCCCTCTCAGGGCCCTTGACCCGATGGTTTCCCTAGTGAAGGTTCCTTTGATGCTATGCCCCTGGGGTTTCATTGGGCACAACCATCTCCTGGTCTTTGTTGGCTGGACCGGGGTACACAAGACACATGCTGATTCTGTTCCCCCACGTGTTTTTTACAACATCTCTGATGGTTTGCCCTTTGATTTCCCCAAACCAATTCCCAAGACAAACCCAAACAGGGCCGTGGGGAACGACCACGATGATACAACAGAAAGGGCTTCCCAAAGACGAAACTGTTCATAGAAAGGGGGATTCCCTTGTATCACAGGAGTGGTTGGAAACACCCCGAGTGATCCCACAACCCTGGCTTTCAGAGTCGGAACCCCCTCCAAAGTAGTACATGGATCTCCACCAAACTGTCCACCAAAGGGTCCCTTAAAAAAAAATCAGAACAGCCGGCTGCACCCCAAAAGGCGCCCAGGACGATCAAAACCAGACATGGCCCCCGCCTGTGCGGCAGGCGGCGGCTCCGGCGCGGAGCCGGAGGGCGCCGGCTCACCGGACACCACCGGCTCCGCCTTGGGCTTCTCTCGGTCCGCTTCCTGCGTGGGGCGGTGGTTTTGGGGTCGTTGGTTTTGGGGTTTTGGGGTTTAGGGTTTAGGGTTTAGAGGGGTTTAGGGGGGTTTAGGGGGGTTTAGGGTGTAGGGTGTAGGTTTCAGGGTTGTTTCCCGTTTCTTGCGTCCGTCGGAAGGTCGGTTTTTGCAAGTCTCTCGTGCGTCGAACTAGGTGGAAAGTCCCGAATTCCTGCTTTTCTTCTTGGCTGCCCTGTTGCCCCATTTGGAGACAAGCTCCAACATCGCCAATGGGACATCGGAAGAAATCTGTGACATGGCCCAAAAGCGTTCTAGATACGGATAGAAGCCCGGCAAACAGCAGAAAGCGCACACATCTTTTCTTGAGCAAAAAGTGAGCTGCCTCCTGGCACTTAGAGTTCTCGTTTGTGTCTTGGCATTTTCCATGATTTCCCCAGTAGATGGGGCATGCATAACATGGCGGGTGAGTTCAGCCCATGATTTTCCCAGTGTGCCAGGGTGACTTCGTTCCCTGCGAGTAAAGCAAAGGGGAGGACTGGGGGGGGAATTCTAAGAAGGAACCCTTTGGTGGACATGGTGAGGATTGTCCACTGTTGACAAACTCTGTCCAAGGCAATATTTCACTTCGATGGTGGGCACTCAACGGAAGTGGCCGTAACAAGGCCCTTTTGCCCCACAACCGTGCTTGGTCTAGTTTGCAGCCTCCTTCTTTCGGGCTGGGGGCTGTGTGCGTTGTTCGGGCTTTGGCATACAACATGGAGCGCTAAGAGTCCGCACGGGGCGGGGAGGGGGGGGGGGGGAGAAGCAAAAGGCAATGCGGGCCTCTTGGCTCCAAATAGGAGTGAAATGGCCATAGGTCAAAATCCCCATCACCCCCCAGTGAACATCCCAATCCCCACTAAAATAGGTTCTAAAATGGGTGGTGAATTCACCTACCCCAAAATCGTATCATTGTTTTGACCCACAGCCAAATCAGAACAAACTCAAAAAAAGACGCCAGCGAGAAAAGCGAAACTGGCTAGGCAAAGAGGGGTGGCTAGATTGAGGGGATGGTGCCAGGAAAAGAACTAACCACTGAAACGGATCCCCACCACTTTCCCTACACCCTGAGGCGTTCATCTTTGTCTTGGACGTCGTTTTTCCACCAAAAAAAATAACGCACCCCCTACCAAACCGTCGCGCCTTTTTTCGCCCGATAGGGCCTCAAATAACGCACCCGGGTCCAGCGCATTTTGAAGAAACGAAGTCATGTGGCAGAGAAAGCCTTGTGGCATTTCCATGCTTAGGTTTAACGTTCGAATTCCACTCTGCGACCTCCTCAAAACCTGAAGGCTGCAGAAGAAAAAGATCTCCAACATACCCATTGCCCACTCTGAGTCCATGCGCCAGCTTCGCGCTTCGCGCTGAGGCCTTGAAAAGACCACCATTAAAAAAACCAGACTTTCGTTGGTGGGCGCATCTGACAAAGCCACCTCAGTGGCTTTGAAGGGAGAAGACTGGCAGGGGAGATAAGCCCCAGTCGCCCGGCCGATTCCGATGCCAGAGGCAAACAAGATCCATCGGCATGCTTCACCATTGCGCATGCCAAGCGTGTCAGACTGTCACCCCGAAGAGCTTGGAGCACGCGAGTCGAGGCTCGAGTCTAGCACCGAGCCACGGCCTGTTTCTGCTTGCTTGGGACAGGCGGTAAATACTTTGCCCTTTCCCAACTCCCTGGCCACGCAGAGGAACTGCAACTTGCTGCCTCTCAGCGTCCAGCACTTCCTTAGCGGCGTGCTTCCGCGGCGCTTCCGCAAGCTCCAAATCCCCACATTTCTCCAACCTCTGTAGGCGCAGGGTGTGGGCATCCCTTCAGAAAACAGCTTTTGCCCCTGTAGGAAGCCTCATGGAGCCTCAAAACCCAACACTCACACAGGTGAAATGGGGCAAGACTCAAACTAGCGGGCCCACATATGGGGGAGTTTGCCTCTCTTACGCCCAACATCCCATGGAGTTGCGCCAAGGTACAGGGTCTTGTCGTTGCCGCCGGTGAACAGCAACTCTTTGGCCGAATCCAGGATAATGGACACGGTGCCGCGCAGATGGGCCCCCTGCACCCCAAACGACGCCCCGACGAGATGAGGAGCCGTCGCACAGCTTGGGGCTAGCACCGCTAAGCTGATTTTGGGGGCGATGTTCATTTTGATTGGCTATATTGTGTTGGCCTTGGCCCTTGGCTTTTGGGCAAACAGCTTTTGCTGGCTGCTTTGGTTTGTGCTCTTTCCGGCCCTGGGAGTGAAACCCAAACACGGGGCGAAAACAACATGGCCGGCTTGGTCTCGCGAGAGACCCCTCGGGCAAAAAGCAAGAAAAGAGCCGCCGAAGGCCAGGTCCGCAAGGCCAGGCGAGCACGGCGCAGCCCTTTTTTTCCAAAAAAAACCGCCCCTTTTAATTTTTGTTCACCCCGGATGAATCCACCCCTTGATTTTGATTGGGGGGTGTCCGATTCCTTTTAGTGGTTGGATTCAGACCACTTTTGGAGGGAACGCCCCCCTAATAGTGGGGTGGGTTTACTAATCCTGGGTCAACATTAGGGGGGCCGGGGGGTGGGGGGGGGCTTGGGCGCTCATATCCATCGCGACATGTTGAAAATCGGCCTCGACTCTCAGAACCGGGGTGATGCAATCTGCGGAAGCGTAGTGCCAGCACCGAAGAGTGCCTGGCGCAACGTGTTGCTTCAATCCTGGAAAAGGGAAAGGCACGTGGCTCTTTTTTTCTTGGGGGGGGGGGTGTTTGCTTCATGGCTTCATGGCAACGCCCCTCTAAACGAAAAGTACATGCATCGCAGTGTCTGAATGACCCGGCCTTCAAGGCACGGCGCGTGGTCAAGTGGTGCGCTTGACGCACACGGCTTTTGGACAAACATTGCCTAAATAGCCAGGTTGCGATCGCCTTGTTCAGTCATTGTTCCTGGTGTTTGGGGTAAAGTGGATGGAAAAAAGCGATCGCAACTGGCGATCCAGGTTGTAAAAAAAAAGTCCCCTGTTGGGAACTCTTAAGAATCTCCTAGGCTTCCTTTTGGGCTTTTGGGGGGCTTTTGGGGGGGCCTTTCGGTGTAAACAAACAAGGGGGTCAATTTCATGGGCGCAATCCCCTCAGCCAGAAACCCCATGCCTGTCGTTGCGCCGCCGAACAGCAAGCCTCGCAACGCGCGACTTTGAATGACTCCAAAGGTACAGGCGGTACACTTCCTATGGCCTAACGCGGAAAACTCCCTCAGTAAACCCCGCAATACGAGGAACTGGCCTGGATTTGTCAGGGACTTTCAGGGACTTTGAACCTCAAACCCACCATTTCAGCATCTGAGAGCATTTTTCGAGGTCAAAAAAAAAAACGTTTTTCCCAGCGCCAAAGTCTTGGTCCCTGCGGCGGCTGAAGCGGATGCTCCCCGGCCCCGGGGCCCCGGCCGAGCTCTGGGGCGAAGCGCAGCGCCGTGACGGACTGAGACCTCAGTCTCTCGGGCCGGCAGATCGGCGGATCGGCGGATCTGCGCTCAGTTGCCCCGGGACCTGGGACTAAGAGGTGATCACCTTTTGCCGTGTTTCTAAAAGAATGGGGCCGAAATTGGTTCTAACCAACAGGTCAAAAGACTGAGAGGGAGAACAAGGAGAATCCAACAACCTGCCAAGTGAGTGTCCAAAACGGGACAAGTGGAAAGACAAACTAGGTCCTCCGGATTTGAGAGCTTAGAAGTTGGTACCATGTGTTTTTCGGTTCTGTCTGTTTTTGTTGGGGAACCCAAAAAACAAAAACAAGTTGGTAAAAGGGCACTACTGGGGGACCTAGTCAGGGGGATGACCCCATGTACCCTCCAACTGTTCTTTTGCTTTTCCCCCGGAATGGTGGAAGCATCGCATGACTCGATCCGCCGCTCATAGGACCCCAAAGCCACAGTGACAGCGAACCAAATGGTTTGAGTGAATGAGCCAACCCCGAACAATGTTGCTTGACCCCCCAACCAAGGCTGGGCGTTTGCGATGCCAAGCTGTCCTTCAAAATGCCCGGCCCCAATTGGGCCTGCGGTGTGGCCCAAGTGTAGGCCCAACGAGTGACATGTGGCCACATCACCTCGCGTTTGAGGGAGGATCCCTGAATTTGGGGCAGTAGATTTGCCCCCTTTCTGTGAGTGGCCCTGCAGGCATTCCCGACCAGCGTGAAAGTAGCATGGATAGGAATCAGCAACTTGGTTACTGCAAGGAAGCTTTGGATTCCCTTTTCAAACTTTCGACATTGTGGGGCGTATCGTTGGAGGACCCTTGGGTCCTTTGACAAGGGCACACGTGCCCATTCCATATTCAGAGCTTTGGGTTTGTAGAAAATCTGATCGGGTATGTTTCATGAAGCACAAGCGGTGGGCCAAGAGATAGTGGCCGCATCCAGTCCCAAAGCTGGCAAAAATGGGTTTACTGGCCCAATTGTTTCCTTCATCTGGACCAACCGCCTTTCTCGGCACAAGAGAACCCTTGAAAAAACGCCACCTCAGCTTACAAGCGAGGCTCCGTCCGAAGGGATACATCAAGCAGTGGAGCTCAATGAGCTTGGACTCTGCAAGATGCCAGAAACGAATCGAGTGGCACCCCGTGAACAGCGTCATGCTCTCCCCGTCCATGTGCATGGCGTTGATCACGTTTTCCTGGTGCGCTCTTTTCCGGCGCCTAGCTTGAACCCAGCTCTTTTTGCAGATCCTTTTTTGGCCTAAGGGTCGGGGCATACAGGTCAAAGCACCAACAAATGAACAGGCTTGCTTTAGATTAAAACCCAGCACACACACACACACAGAGAGAAATCTAACAGCGCCCAATGTTCATCCAAGCAGCATGCGCAACGTCGACTTTAAAACTCTGTCGGAAAGATTTGCCGGCCATCTCCCACACGCTCAGGGTGGTGTCAGCGCTGGCAACAACAAGTACACGGCTAGGGCCATGGTACGCGATTGCCTCAGATCCGATTTTCGGAGCGTCGGGGTCGGTTTTAGGAGGACTGAGACTTGGGGGTGGCTCGCGCAACCCAGTAAACCAGCTTCCCTCCGATTGGTGATTTGGATTGGTGGTTTAGTGGTTAATTGGTGGTTTGCATTGGTGGCTTAGTGGTTAAGAGGGCTTCACATTTATCCACTACAGAAGCCAGCGGTCAAATCCCCAAGCCACCAATCCAAACCACCAACTAAGGGGAACCTGAGTGGCCTTCGCGCCAACAACAACATGGGTATAACCACCTGGAACGCAGCTTCGTAACTGACCTCAAGACCCTCCACAAGCGAGGCCAAGGGTTGTTCAACATGGGGGGGACCTGAGCCGTAGCTCGTACTGGGACGTCAATACAACCTGGGAAACCCACTAGCATCTGGCCTGGCAAAAGGAAATCAATTCTGAAAAACCCAACAAGCGCTCTGCCTCTGCCTACCAAGGCTGCGGTCATGTGAGCCATGGTCAAAATGACTCGTTTCCAGCCTTTTTCCCATAAGGACGTGTGAGTCCGCACGTTTTTGTGAGGAGATTTAGTGGGTTTCCCGTATGTCTTGCCCAAATCCATAAATTCGCCGCAATTCTGGGCCGAACCTCCTGTAATGATCCGGCACCGCGACGTCCTTTTGGATTGCCTTAACAAAACCAACCACCAAACAAGAGCGTAGCCTCAAAACGGACACACCCAAATGTTTCTCGCCTGAGGTAATTCAGTTTGGGAAATACCCACAGCGTTCCAACGTCTGAGGCCCTTGCGGTAGGGGAAAAATACGGGAATCTGGGTGCGCCGTTTTGTCTGCAACCTTTGACTGTGGTTTGTGGTGGCTCAAACAATTCCTCCTCTTCGGGTTCCATGTGAACTTGCAAAGTAACTTCCATTTGCCTTTTAGACTGTGTTTGCCTTTGGTGGTGTTAACGGTAACCTAGCGCTACTGGACACAGGTCTGTTTTTTCATTGGGGACTCACGCGAATGAGACTTGCAGCGGCCAAAATACTTTCTCACCCCGGCCACGGTGCATGGATTTCGCAGGCCAGCGCTTCGCGCAAAGTGGCCAGCGCTCGAAGCTCCCCATCCTCGCGGGCACTGATCAAGGCGTTCCGGGACCTGAACGAGTAATACACGTGTCCAAAAGAACTGATCACCGTTTTCAGCCATGACTACAAATGGGCCAAAATGGGCAGACCAAAAGGTCAAAACGTCGGCCTGAAAATTTGGCCTCAGATGAATAGACTCCTGCTTGTTAATACGGGGTTGTCAATTTCTGGTGTTAGTGGGGATTTAGACGCCAAATTAAGAATTAATAAGCTTGGGCTTATGAATCTGTGGTCAATATTTTTCGGATTGCTTCACCAAAGGAGAATCATGTGCCTTTTCCATAGTTTAACCAAATGGGATTTTAACAAATGGGGCTCCCTTTGGCGCAAAACGGGCAAGAAGGTTTGAGTGCGGGGTATGACTCGCGGGTATGATTCGGGGGTATGATTCGGGGTGTGATTCGCTGTAGCAGCAGTAGTAGCAGAAGCTGCAGAAGCAGTAGCTTGCAGAGGAAGCTCATTGTCCGGGTATGGTTCGGGGATGATTCACGGGTATGGCTCGGCTAGTTGCAAAGCGGACCTGGCTACAGATGAATGTAGTGGTGGTACGGTAGACATTAGACCCTCAAATGGTGCAGAAAAATATTTGAGACCCAAAAATCAAAAACACCTCCGCCCTGAAACTGACCAGCATAGTTAGTTCTATCCGAGCCCCAACTCCCAGCCCAGTACAGTGGCTTGATTTCCTTTGCTCAGCGCCCTGAGAATTAAATAGATGTTCACACTGCGCCAGCTTCCAAACTCTGAGCCAGAGGTGTGGTAAGTTGTCAAACATGTGTTCGGCCAAAACTTGACACGCTCACACCTGACACCTATCACTCTGTGACGCATGAGAGGTCGAACGTCCGAAGGCTGCCGGGCGTGGACAAAGCGCTCGTCCGCCGTGCGGGTGATGCGGTGGGAAGCGTGGATGGTATCGACCACTATGTTCTCGTTGGGCGGAAGGCGCTCGCGGTAGGTGGCAGTCAGTGCGCCGATCGTGCAGGCAATGAGGACCCGCTCGCCTTTGTCCGACACCTTAGCAGCGCAGCCGGTGACCGCCTCGGTCTTGCCCGGTCCGGGCTTGCCGGCGCGGTGACCAAGAGCGTTCGGCGTTTCGCGGCCGGGTTGGCGTCGTCCACGGCGACACCTTTGCCCACCGCTTGGGGCGACGCCTTGGACCTCTTCTCCCCTCTTCTCCTTGACCCTCTAAAACCTTGAGAGCTTGCGGGGACTTGCCTCAGACATGCTCGCTCGCCTAGCGAGGTGGCGTGCCTGACAGCTGAGAACTGTCACAGAACCTCTTAAGCTCTTGTCCGCCCGCGGCGACAGCGCCGCCTGTATCTCCACCTCCGCGCGGCGCCCGTGCTCGGCCTTGAGCTTGGCCTGCGCCGCCTCGTAATCCTAACAAGGCGACGGAGCGCCTCTGCTGCCTGAACTTCCGCCTACGCCTGCGTCTTGTGCTGGCTTCGGAGCTTTTTGCGGGCGCAGCAGTCCTCACACTCAGAAACTCCAAACAAAGGCTGGCAACCCGCCCCTTTCCAAACTTGCAGTGGCTGAAACATGTTCCAGACACGAAACTTCCGAAATAAGCGAGATTCCGACAAAATGCGCTAGTCCTGACTGCTATTGAAACACCTTCCCGCAAGGATCCGCAACGCGATCGCATGCGACTCAGATCCCCGTTAGAGGTTCCAAACAGGGTTGGATCCCCCCCCATTTTATCAGATAAAATAGGGTCAGTCCAACCTTGTTGGAAAATAAAATGAAATAGTCCAACCCTACCAGCAAATAAAATTGAAAAACCACGATTTATTTTGACCTCATGTTGGGTGTTGGTTTGAATAGTCCGAGTTGGATAAAACGTATTTTATTTTATTTCCTTTGAAAATAAAGTCGAGGGGAGTCCAACTCATGTTTATTTTGCATATCCGCTTTTCTCACAAAATAAAGTCGGGGGGGGTTCAACTCGGAAGGTACAACTTCAAAAATCACATTCTGAGCACACCGAGCACCAGGCCAGTGGGAGGTTCATCAAGAATCATGACATCAAAGACACAATCCGAACATGCTGCAGAATAGGATGTCAGAATCAGCCACGATAGCCACGTCAGGAGCGCCATGAGCGCCTTTTGTCGCGGCGCAATTTGGTATACACACTGATGTTCGAAAGGGCTGGCGGCAGCATCCCGCATCTCACCACCCCTTTCTACAGTGACCAAACAAAAATGGGCCTGTATTTTTTTTAGTGTACCCACAAAATGGCAACGGTGTCCCTTCTAGTTTTTCTTTTAACCAATCAAAAAAGGGGGTACATCCAAAAATATAGACCCTAATGGCTCAATTGGCTCACAATCACTGCGGAGGGTATGCTTCAGCGCATGCTTTTAGCAGTCGCATGAAAAGGGCACGTTCTGGCGGCACCTTGTGAAGCTCACCAGCCATGCGGACAAAATGTGCGTGAACTGCGTTGCCCCAAGCTGAGCGGTTCCGGACTGAGCTGTACGTCATACGGAAGAACTGAGGAATGTACTCGAGGATGTGGTCCCAGGAAATCTGACTCTTGACAATGTCGAGGCGCAAGCGCAGGCAGCCAGCAGAATCTAGCAGGGGCTTTGACATGAACGTTGCCTCATGCAGTGTCAGGAGTTTGTCCATCTCCTGTCGGATTAAGGCATCGCCCTCTGCTGATTTCTTGAAGTTGCTTGACACAGGCTCAATGCCACATGCAGCCTTTGCGTCGGCCACTTTCTTGGCCTTGCTCGGCTTGTATGTCTTTGCAGTCCAGCTGGCCGTGGCGATGGACAGCATCACGACGCTCGCCTTCTTCAATTGGCAGCTGTAGCTCTCTTCTAGAAAATCCACCGTTTCCAGTGGGAGCACCATCACAACCCGGTCTCCCTTGAACAGCATCACAAGCGACAGCGCATTGCAGCACATCGGCCCTGACGCATCCTCGGCATCATGCGGCTCCAACACCACGGCGCGAACCTTGGAGAGCAGCTGAAGGGGAATTGGCTGCAAGGTCATCTTGACGCCTTTGCCAGTTGAGATGTAGCATTCCTCAGGGAACACCCCCACTACATGAAATAAAATGCCAGCAGTCCATCCTCTTGCAGGAGGAGGAGGGGTGGATACCATATCAACACACGACAAGCAACAAATCAACACGAAGCCAAAAAATGCTACCCCACTCCTGTGCCAGCACAATCTCCCAGGTGTCCTTTCGGCTTTCCGGGCCAACAAGGAGCACTGCGCCAGGCTGGACAGCCTGCAAGGTGTTTTTTTTCCAGTTTCATATTTGGTCCTCAGGTCCCCTTCTAAAACTCTCGCCTTTAGTGGTTTGTGGAAACTTTGATTAAACAAACAATCGTGTGAGGAAACAGGCCTTATCCATGTCCAAGCTCTGCGAGTTACACAAGGCATTTGCCCGCTGGACCAGCTGCTTCCAAGCATAACTTCGGCTGGATCGAGGCTGGGCATCGCCGCGAAGTTGCCGGAGCAGACTCATCTCGTTCTCTGCCTGCTGGTGCCAGTTGAGCTTGGAAGATGTGACGCGGCAGGACACATGGTTCTTGATGTAGTCCCTGTCAATTCCGTCGCCACCTACTCGGAGAAAACAAAGAAGCCGAAGCAACTCATGTTCTGCAGCTTTCAGCCCGCACTTGTAGTTTTTCCCCAGCCGCTTGAACACTTCATGCAGCGTCGTGGCAGGGGGATCCTCAACTTTGGCAGTGGCCTCTTCTGCTTGGGTCTTCTCGCACTTCGCGGCTATCCGCAAGTTCTCTTCGTCAGGAAGGCCCTTGAGATCATCTTTGTCTGCGGGGACTGTGTCCCATCCTGCCTCGTCAAAGGCTTCCCTCGCCTGTAGCTGCTTTAAGAGACCGTAGCACTCCTGGGCGGCTGCATCTGGAAAGGCACTGTCAGCATCTTCACTGGGCACGCCCGCTTCATCTAGGCGCTCCTGACCATTGCGACACTCGGGAGTTAGTGCGCACCCATGGGGACATCTCACAAGTCAAAAGAAATAGAAGCCATGGTATGACCCTTGAAAGTCTTGAAACGTGGGCCGGGCATCATCATCCTCGCCAGTAAAGGATTGATAGGCATCGGCGGGCACCTGCCGCTGCAGCATTTCTTTCAGCTCATCGGGGGAGAAACGACTGCAAATCGACGAAAGCCAAAGGGATGCCTCCAGCGCCTTCTGGGCACAGCGCTGGAAGACTTCTTGCTTCACCTCCTGCAACAGATGCACCGCCAGCACCATCCCTCAGACAGTACAAAAAAATAACATGGACACCGTCCAACATAATGCGAATGAGTGTATGAACCTATTCTTACAACCGCCCAGGTCCTGAGTGGGCTGCACAGGCACGGCCGAGACTGGCGCTGGTCCCTTTCTGGCAGCCGCATTTGTGACTCTGGCGCTGGCATGGAGGTAGTCCCTCATGGACATTGCTGCGCTAGAAAACTGGCACCTCAGGGAGCCAAAGTGTCGCTCCACAATCGATTCCGAGACCCGCTTCAAATACCTTCCTGCGCCGGTGGCATGCAAGCAAATGACGGAGCCGCAAAGGTGCATCAGGTTCCTGAATGTCTGAGGAGACAGAAAGCACGAGTGCATTGGAAGCCCTCGTTCTGTCTCCAACTCCCGCGCCATGCAAGCACCCAAGTTCAGCAAGGTGTAGGCCGTCATGGCATTCTGGAGGCGAGCCTCTGTGGACAAGTCCTTGTGGTGCGCGGCCGAAATAGCAAGCCCCCCGATCAAGCTCATGAGCATGGTGCCCTTAAGCGGCCACGCAACCTGACGGGCAAAAAGCTACCATGCAAACAAAACAGCACATGACATACATTACCAACATGGAATCGTGCACATACCACAAATAAAATCAAGCCCCTCAGCGCGCTGCTCTTCTCAGCAGCATCAGCAGCTTTGGCATCTCCAGGATCTCCAGCCGCAGCAGCTGGTTGGTTACCATGGTCCATGCGATCCACCTCTGCCAATGTGGACTCCAACCTTAACCACAAACGCTCCTCGTTGCCAACATCTTGGCCACCATCACCCTTCTCGCCCTGGTCGTCAAGTGCTTGGCCAACATGAGCAGGAGCATCGGTGCCAAGCGGCATTGGAGCTGCCCTCTTCACCAAGAATTCAATGCTCTGTTGCTTCGCCAGCTTTGCCTGAGGCAATGCTGTTGGCCACAGGCAAAGAACATGAACATGAAGTGTAATCATGATGGCCTCAAGTTGTGCAAATCCTGCGCCAAGGCGCTTGAGTTTGGCCTCTCACGCACCCCTGACCATACCAGTCACCATAGCCAAAGAGCTGCTTGTGGTGGCTTGCGCCCGCACAATCGCACTTCCAGGCGGATACCTCAGGTAATGGCCCTCTCCCAAAAATAAAACAGCCCCCCCCCAACCAAAAAAAAACTCGGAAGGTAGGTAGTTATTATTAGGGTACCCAGGTTCCTCCGGCTCGAAAATCGCAACCTTGTGGTACAAGGCTAGTAAAAGAATCGTACTCCCGGAGCGCCGGCTCGAAAATCGCAACTTTGTAGCACAAGCCTAGTAAAGGAATGATACTCTCGGAGCGCCGGCTCGAAAATCGCAACTTTGTAGTACAAGCCTAGTAAAGGAATGGTACTCCCGGCGCGCCGGCTCGAAAATCGCAACTTTGTAGTACAAGCCTAGTAAAGGAATGATACTCCCGGAGCGCCGGCTCGAAAATCGCAACTTTGTAGTACAAGCCTAGTAAAGGAATCGTACTCCCGGCGCGCCGGCTCGAAAATCGCAACTTTGTAGCACAAGCCTAGTAAAGGAATGGTACTCTCGGAGCGCCGGCTCGAAAATCGCAACTTTGTAGTACAAGCCTAGTAAAGGAATGGTACTCCCGGCGCGCCGGCTCGAAAATCGCAACTTTGTAGTACAAGCCTAGTAAAGGAATGGTACTCTCGGAGCGCCGGCTCGAAAATCGCAACTTTGTAGTACAAGCCTAGTAAAGGAATCGTACTCCCGGCGCGCCGGCTCGAAAATCGCAACTTTGTAGTACAAGCCTAGTAAAGGAATGATACTCCCGGAGCGCCGGCTCGAAAATCGCAACTTTGTAGTACAAGCCTAGTAAAGGAATCGTACTCCCGGCGCGCCGGCTCGAAAATCGCAACTTTGTAGCACAAGCCTAGTAAAGGAATGGTACTCTCGGAGCGCCGGCTCGAAAATCGCAACTTTGTAGTACAAGCCTAGTAAAGGAATGGTACTCCCGGCGCGCCGGCTCGAAAATCGCAACTTTGTAGTACAAGCCTAGTAAAGGAATGGTACTCCCGGCGCGCCGGCTCGAAAATCGCAACTTTGTAGTACAAGCCTAGTAAAGGAATCGTACTCCCGGCGCGCCTGCTCGAAAATCGCAACTTTGTAGCACAAGCCTAGTAAAGGAATCGTACTCCCGGCGCGCCGGCTCGAAAATCGCAACTTTGTAGTACAAGCCTAGTAAAGGAATCGTACTCTCGGAGCGCCGGCTCGAAAATCGCAACTTTGTAGTACAAGCCCAGTAAAGGAAAGGCACTCTCGGAGCGCCGGCTCGAAAATCGCAACTTTGTAGTACAAGCCCAGTAAAGGAAAGGCACTCTCGGAGCGCCTGCTCGAAAAGTGTAACTTTGTAGTACAAGCCTAGTAAAGGAATCGTTCTCTCGGAGCGCCGGCTCGAAATTCACAACCTTGAAGAGTCCGCAGGGGGTGGGTGGTTGGGTTTGGGTGGGTTGGGAACGGCCGGGGCAAGCGGGGAGGTACGGCCCACTCAGGACCTCCCTCCACCCCGGCCCCTGGGGTATGGACAGGGAGGTACGGCCCGAAGGCCTCCCTCCACCCCAGAACATGTAGCACAAGCCTAGTAAAGGAATCGTACTCCCGGAGCGCTTATTAAAGGGAAGTGGCCTGCCTGACCTTACAAACTAAAATGCAAACAGTCCAACCGCCACAACCAAGAACATGGATCTGACAAATTAATCCTTCGCATCCAAGCAGCGGCCCTGCCCCAGCTCACCGACTTTGCCGAAGGGGTTGCTGCGCAGGCAATAAGAGCACAGTGCTTCGGCGGCGGCGGCTTACAGCTCTGGCTTCCACAGAGGCATGGTGATGGCCGATCTGCCTGGGCGCCAGCTTCCCTGTGCTTCCCGCCCCGAAGAAAATGCGACGTTAGGAGAAGTGAAGCGGAGGTTTGCTCTCAAAAAGCCCTGCGAATTCCGAATTTTCATGAGAAACCAAGGCTTTCGACTGAAAGCAAGAGCCATTGGAGTTGTTTGGAGAACGTCCAACTCTGCAGCAACAAAAGCGGACGGGCCTTGGCATACTCGATGGTGATCTTCTCAGCTTTCTCGATGTCCCGCATGCCCACAACCTTACACATGCAACATACGCAACCAAAAATCCAAAAAATAACATCCATAACTCCATGAGAAAGCCAGTGAAACTCCACGAGAAAGCTATTTCAGCCCTCTGAACCTTTGCGCTGTTTGCCAAACAAAGATGCCAAGGCACAGCGCCATCAGCATTGAGATTGCTGTTGGGCTGGCAGCTGTGGTTGATCAAAGCAAAGGTAAGTGTGTCGGCTTGCAGGCAAACCACAGTGCCAGCTGCAATCTTTTCCTGCGAGAATAGCCCGTCTTTCTTGTTCCCGACCGCGATCCGGACCAACTTTGGCATGTTCGCTGGCTTCGCGGATACGCAGTTCAAGCACTCTTAGGCATCTTGGGCCACAATGTGGCTAGCCCATGGAATGCATAATCGTCATACCCGAGAAAAAAAAACGTAGGGCCCAAAGCAAAAACTGAGGCTTTCGCACCAAACATGGGTTTTCAAACGCATGGCAGAAATACGAGAGGAAGCCTCCACAAGGGTGAGGAAGTAAAGTGGGAAACAAGCGAAGAGGCTTAATGACTTGTTGACCGACCTGGCCCCCCTAAAGTTAACATGGTCCAACTCCACACTGAATATAGTTAGACTGCAAAAAAATGCCATGTCCAAAATGTAATTGCCGCAGTCCAACAGTTCCCAGGCCTTGAATGGACTTGAAAAAACGGCACTTCCTAGGGAAGTCACAGATTACCTCATGTTAATTTGAAATGAGTTCAGTCCTACTTTGAGAGTTTTTCACAGAGGCCAACATGAATTCGCATCAAAAAAGGGGTTGGACTAAAATAAAATAGATGACTTATTTTCGGGTCCGACCAACCCCTACTTTATTTTGAGCCTGCTTCGGGGATGACTCAGCCCACTGGGCCTGCATCCGCGCGTTGGCATTGTCGCGGATCTTTTGCGGCTTCTCCGTGGCTCTGAAGAAGCACTTTTCGCAAGCTTGTCTCATAGCATGACTCCATTGCTCAATTGGCAGTGGGCTGTGTTCCGAAGGAGGGAGATGGGACCGAATCACATTAAAGGTGAGCAAGGTACATCAAGGCTGATGACCAACAATTTTTGACACCTCACCACACCTCTGGCTCAGAGTTTGGAAAATGGCGCTGCTCCCCAAAAGCGCGAAAACCAAATTATAAGGTTTCTGGGCCAAAAAAACAAGGTGGTCAAAACCAACCCGACCAGTGGTGCACAAGGGCTAAAGAGTCTTTCCGTCGTTCAAAAACAAAAATAGAAATCCGGTCAAAGCTGTGGATTGACATATTTTTATTCCCCATCACATGCTTAAGCAATATTCCAGACCCTGGCCAGTAGTAGTAGTAGTAGTAGTAGTAGTAGTAGTAGTAGTAGTAGTAGTAGTAGTAGTAGTAGTAGTAGTAGTAGCAATAGCAGCAGCAGCAGCAGTAGCAGTAGCAGTAGCAGCAGCAATAGCAGTAGCAGTAGCAGTACCAGTGCCAGTAGCAGTAGTAGTAGTAGTAGCGCAGAAGCTTTGTAAAGTCTTGGCACTAGCCTTTGCAAGGGAAGCGCATTGTCCGGGTGTGATTCGGGTATGATTTGCGGGTATGACTCGCAGGTATGATTCGGCCAGTTGCAAAACGGAACTGATTACAAACTCAGAATGATGAATGTAGTAGTAGTGGTAGCAGCAGTAGTAGCAGGCATAATGGTTTTCGTAGGAATAAAAAAAGTAGTTAACAGTAGTATAATAGTAGTAGTAGTAGTAGCAGCAGCAGCAGCAGTAGTAGTAGTAGTAGTAGTAGTGGCAATAGTAGTAGTAGTAGTAGTAGTCGTAGTAGTAGTAGTAGTAGTAGTAGTAGTAGTCGTAGTAGTAGTAGTAGTAGTAGTACTAGTAGTAGTAGTGGTAGTGGTAGTAGTGGTAGTAGTTGTAGTAGTAGTAGCAGTAGTAGTAGTAGTAGGAGTAGTAGTAGGAGGAGTAGTACTAGCAGGAGGAGGAGTCGTACTAGGACTAGGCGGAGTAGGAGTTGTAGTAGTGGCAGCAGCATTAGTAGGAGGTAGCGCTATACGTTTTGAAGGGGTATGATTCGGGGGTATGATTCGGGGGTATGATTCGCCAAGGTCCCACCTTCTGCCTTTTGAAGCATCTCAACACCACAAAAAAAAGACAAACAATAGTGACAAATGGCCCCAAAGAAAGGCCTTACAAGACCTCACTTGGCCTTACGAGGGCTGCAAGTGAGCCGCAAACCCCAACGCGGGGTTTGGGGGGCTGGGTCCCTGTGTCCCCTGGAAAAAAATCCGATCCGAATCGCCATGATCTGATCTCTGCGTCATGCATATGTCAGATTTTTTAAACAACAAGGAGGCCCCAGACCTCGAAGCCAGTTCCAGCTGGGCTGTGCAAAATGGAGCGTTGGCCAACCTAATTCATTGCTCCTAGGGAATTGCTTAACCTAAGGTAAGGATGGAGGATTGCCTTTGAACAGCCCAGCCAAGGACCACCCCTCCAAGGATGATGTCCTTCAGCCGCCAGGCACGCAGTGAGCCATCCTCGCCAGCACTGACCAGCACACGGCTCGGGCGGTCGTACTGAAGGCTTCGGATGGTGCCTCGACTCCAGCGGAACTGACACACCGAGAAGCCTTCTCACCGCCAAGCAGGATGTGAGGTTGTTAAGCCTTCTCACAGCCAGGTTGTTAAGCTCAGTTGCCCAAAGGACCTGGAAACAAAAGGTTAACCTTTTGGGACCATGACTAAAAAATGGGCCAAAACCAGGAAACCAAAAGGTTAAAAGGTCGGCTTTGGGCAAATGAGCAAGCCTTCTCACAGCCAAGCAGGTTCTTCGGATGCAAAAAGAACTTTGGAGCACCTAGCGAATGTCTGGACCCATATGGCGATGATGGGCCCCTGACCTGGCTGCTGTGCATGCCAAAAAACAAACAGCCCACCAAAAGGAAACCGGAAAGAAGAGAAACGTGGGGAACCCCCCCCAAACAAAATGCCTCACATCAGCCCAAATGAACCGAACTCACGCACAAGTCGTGATTCCCCCCCCCCCTCCTCCAAAAAAAAAACGAGCCCTCCAACCGCTGAGCTTCCATCTGTAGGCCTCCCCCGCGGATATTTTTTTTGGGAAAAAAAAAGCCGCGCCGCTTCGCCGGGGCTGGGCCCATGGGCCGCGCCTTCGTGGGCATTGTCCATGGCGCTCAGGCGGACGATCCGCTTCTCCTCGATCCTCACCCGGCGCGTGCGCGTGTGGGGCGAAAAAGTTGGGGGGGGGGGGGGGGGGGCCCTGCTTCTGGACGTGTGGGGGGGGGGGCAGGTGTCCCTTCTTTTCGACACATTTCCCAAAAAGGCAAGATGGGAAACCTGCGACAAACACAAGGGCATGACGCTTGTCGCTGGCCAAAAAGGGAAAAATGAATAGAAACCCCTTCTGAGGCCGGCTTTGCCCCGAGAACAGCTCGTCACCCACGTCCCGCATCCCAGTCCAACAAACTCCGAACTCAGGAGGTAGCTGAGTTCACCTGGCCCCAGTTCCAATTCTTCAGGCCCTCATTGACCATATTCACCCGACCTTCTGTGCCAACGGGAGTTCCCAAGACCAGGCCCAGGGCAACGAAGCTGACAGCCAGCCGATGGTCGGGAGCTTGGGAGCTTGGGAGCTTGTCTGAACCTCTGGCGCTCGCCGGGAGCCCTTCGGGAAAGGATGGCCTGGAAGAAAAACGGAGAGGTCGCTTCAACCAAAGGCTTTGGTCACAGGGAAATCTACAGGAAAGGCCCCCAAACACTGCAAATCAGCGGTTTTCCTGTAGTTTCCTGTAGTCCAGCCCTTTGATTCAACAGACCCCAAACAGAAGATGGCTGCAAAACCTTCCCAGGAACGCGGAAGGCGCCGAGACCTGCGAAAAACGAAAAAAAAAAAAAAAAAAAAAAAAAAAAAAAAAAAAAGACAGCCAAACTTTATCGCCGAAGATGAGCAAGGTGGCCCTGCGAGGTGGCATCGAACATGTCTCAAATGCCCAGGGGCCATCCGTTTTTGGTTGGTTGGGTTTAAACGGGGACCCTTCCTCCGAAAAAGTTGAGAAGAAAAGGGCGCCACTGAAGTGGGATGTTGCAATATGGCACGACTCACAGCCGGGACTCTTCCATACCCTGATGTCCCCATCGATGCCGGCAGTGAAGGCAGTTCCTGGGCCACAAGAATGGGCAGCTGCGGGGCAGCTTCTTGTTTCGAGGAAATCTGACAGGTTGCAAACCGGCCCTACGTTAAAGGAGCATGTGCACCTTTTCTGGGCCAGATCAGTCCTGAAAATGGCCCACATGCCGAAACTGGGCCAGGCTTCGACCCCCGGCAAAAAAGTTAACTTGTTGCTGCTTGAGAAGGAAATGAAGGACCGGAAAACGGCCCGCCTGTGATGCTCTGCTTTTTCATCACAAGGTCCTCGCTCAGCCCGCACTCTTGCACTCACTTCCCGAGTGGATTGGCCCAAACAAGCAGCCAAACTGTTTGAATTTTACCACTAAAATGGTCCAAGCCAAAAAGTGACTAAAGTCCAGGAACGCGTGGAGTGAGTCCAAGACTAACTGAAGAGCTCTTCCCCATAAGGAGCCCCATGTCAGAGACACCTTCAACCTTCAGTGGACTCCCATGAGAAGGGCAAAAGGGAAAACCGGGCAAAAGCACCCCGAGTACTAACAACTAAGGAGATCTGCCCCAAACCCCATGCCAATGAACCAAACAACCAACAAGAGTTTCCATCTCCGGCTGGAGAACAAAATGCTCTCCGGCCGAAAACGAAAACCAAAAACGCTCGCCCCTTCCGAAGCGACGTGACATGCGCGATGCCACGCGGCGGCTGCCAGGGTCATACTTCATGGACAGGGTCGGAAGCTTCAAGGCATCCTGATCCACTCGGATGCCGAGGAGAAAAAAACTACGCAGGGCTTCTAAGACGTTCACCCGTGGACATGGGAGCTACACCCGCCCAAGCTAGGATGGCCCCACGTCACCACAGAGCAGTCGCCTAACATGGCAGCAAAAGCTTCCTTCCAATTGGACATGGGAACATGTTTCACTTCCTGAGTGTATAGGCAAACAAAGGTAGCCAGCCTTCTTATTTATACCACCAAAATGGTCCAAGCCCAAACAGCTTAAAGTCCAGAAACTCGGGAAGTGAGATTATGTTTAACCCCCTCCCTCCCCCCCCCTTCTTCTCGGCTTGGCATGACATGCCGGCTTTTCAAACAAAAGGTCCACCCGCATGGAAGGCCCAGCCTGGGAGGAAATCAAGGGAAGCGAGGTTGAAGGGGTATCCTACGGAAAAACAATGCCTGCACCCGAATGTTGGACATGACAAAATGAGCTTAATTTTGGTCATGCCGTCTCTTTTTCTTGCACTTGAACCATACAGCTCGAAGCATTTTTCAATCACCTGCAAAGCCAGAACGACTCCCACGTGCGCCCAGCTCATCTGCATTTGGGAGGTGCCTTCTTAGTGCGAAAACCCATGATGCCCATGGAGGGGCGGGGGACGGGGGAAGCTGAGAGGGAGAAGCTGTCGCTTCTTTCCGAGGGGCCGGAGATTCAGCTTCAAGCTCGAGGCCGTGGTCGCGAAGTTGCCAGGTCTTCAGCACCCCGTCCATACCTGAGGCAACATCCCTAGGATACAAATTTGGGGCGAAGAAAATCACCGCTTACAGGCTGCTTTGCCAACAAGTAAGCAGACAACTTGCAAAGCAGGTGGTTTTTGGATGCGTCCTGCAAGGGATAAGGACCTCTGAGCTAGGGTTCAGCGAAAAGGGGGATAAACCGAAACTGGCGGCTGAAACAACTGAAGCTCATATGATTTTACGGCCCCCTCCAGGGGTAACCCCCCCACCTCGTAGTTTGTAGGCAAACCAACAGGCCTCTACTAGCTTGCTACGTGCTGTCTTGTGGCTTGCTGCCAGTAAATGATAGCCTTACCGCTGATAACCTACTAAATAGAACGCTATTTTCTAACCGGTCCACTTTTACCGAATTTCCAAACAGCGTTTTGGCCCATAGATCTGGCAATGGCATGATGGTGATGGTGATGGTGATGGTGATGGTGATGGTGATGGTGATGGTGATGGTGATGGTGATGGTGATGGTGATGGTGATGGTGATGGTGATGGTGATGGTGATGGTGATGATGGTGATGATGATGATGATGATGATGATGATGATGATGATGATGATGATGATGATGATGATGATGATGATGATCGTCCAGAATATACGTCGCTCTTCTGCGCCGAACTACTGTTTCTGGCCTGTGTTTCTCCATGCCAAAAAATCCCCTCGTTTGCTAACTACCAACTTATGTTTCCCAATGTCGAAGTTTGTTTGGGGTGTGCGACGTCACCTTCTGACAGGGTCCGCAGTTGGCAAGTTCTGGGCAGCTATTCGGGGGCGACTAAGGGGGTGCCCCATTCCCCTGTACAGCAGCGGCGGGGCCTGCGTTCCTTCAAAAACAGTCCGAAAAAGTGTGGAATAGGGAAAACACTGGCAACGCAAAAAAGCTACATGGTTTCTCTGGTTCAAGCTTTGGGCATTGCCTGGGGAACAAGGTAAGATTCGCATGGCGGCCTTCTGGCGGGCATTCAGCTCTCCAGGTGTGGAGAATCTGCATACATATATATATATATATGTACACATACATATTCCCCCCCCCCCTCCAAGATCCACGCCTCTACATAATATATATATATATATACATCGCGGCCGCAAACTGAAGTGAGTTTCAGTCATTGGCGCAAAGCAAGGAACTCGGCTGGATGGAGATGGGAGGGCATCACTGAGGCGGGATCACCCCCAAAAAATCCTATGAAACCTAGATGAGATTCTCAGCCTTCCAGCTTGGTTCACCCGCTTCTGGCAAGAACCCTCAGGGAACAACCCGCAACCAAGCACTGGAGCAATTCGTGGGAGTTCGGAGAAATCATATTGCACGAGCCTGAAGAAAGGGGCAGTGAGGTCGCTACGGTTTCTCTTACCGGGGCCCTGGCGAATTGCGCACCCCACAATCCATTCTTGCCCCTAAACATGACACTGCAGGAAACCACCATGAAACCCAAAGCCTGGGCAAAGGGCTTAAGAAAGCAACAAGGAATCAAGAGGACAATCTGGCAAGTTCTCAAGATTCTATACTTCGCAGACTGAAGAAGAATTGTCCCGCTCGTAAAAGAGGCACCCTCGCGAACAATCCTCTCGGCCTGCCTCAGCCCCTGGGAAAAAAGGGGCCCAACAGGGTCAATGTCCACAGCCCCTGCCATCAAAACGAAACCAGAACAGGTTTTGGCTGGTTGACCACAATGTGAACCTCTTCCCAAACGAGAACCCCCCACCTTTTCCCCGAAAAGAAGAAGCCGCGCGGCTGCAGCTCAAGAGCCGCTGCGTGGGACTGACATAGGCCAGATTGAAGACTGGGCTGTTCTGCTCGTAGGTCGTCTCCGGCTGCAAGCCCCAAGGCTTCATGGCATAAGCCTGGCGCGCGCGCGAGTATGCGCGGTTCTGCGCGAGTCATGAGGGGGAGGGGCCTAGCGGCCTATGCGAATTATCCCCTCGGTTCCCCCTGGAAAAAACACACACACACAAAAAAAAACATGTGAATATAGCTTGAACCTGTCACTTCAAATGGAACGAGTTGTCCGATGCGGCCGAAGACAATCCAAGAAGAACCCAGCTGGCCTCACAATAGCCCCCCCCCTTACTGCTTGCAAAGCGTGCGCGAACTAAGTCCTTTGCATCCATCAAGGGTGCCGGCGTGTTTTCCCCCTCCATGCGCATCAGGGACCCTTTGATGGACATCATGTTACCTAGTTGGATTTATGCAAACAATAGGGATGCATTCCTACAATGGTAAGGAGTGCTTTCCCGTTAAATCAACAAAATGACTTGAGGGAGACACGAAACGTAGGAGCGTGAGCCGCAAAGTGCAAAGTGATCGGAACTGCTTCTTGACAAGCTTAATGGTAAGGAGGAATGCAACCGGAAATCTAGAATCCGTCGTTAGCTTGAAAACAACCGCCAAAAATTGCAATTGTACGTATGGACTGTGAAAGTCAAGACATTTAGAGGTAAAATCCACAAGAGCGAGAACTCGGAAGCGGAGACACACCTGAAACTGAGCGGTGCGAAACCTAAAGAATAACACACTTCGCGATGTTTCTGTCTTGAGCCACAATGTTGGTAGGAAAAAGGGAAAGAAAGTGGCTGGGTTTGAAAAATACAACTTAAAAATTGTCAAATTCCTGCAACCACAACATTGCGTTTATGAACAATGACGAATTTGAAGGCTGTGTTCAGTGTTCCTGGGCTGGTGTTCTTGCCGGTGGTCACACAAGTGGCTTAGGAATTATTACGCCTTCAGTGCTTGCCCACTAGGGTCACATGTGGCTACTAGGGTCGTATGTGGGCGTCTGTACTCAAATGCTTAATGGCGAAACTCGCAACACTTTCAGTGTACTGCCCGCAAGGCTTATTTTTGTGGTTGTTGGCAAGATTGCCAACAGTCATTCCTTTGTTCCGCCGCACTACGGAGCAATGGCGAACTCTGCTTTTGCACGTGACAGAAAGTTGGTCCAACAGCACGCGCAGACATCGCTCGCGACCCTGAAACTGAGCTCTCAGGGTATTGATGGCACCATAGGGTGGGAAGTATGAAAGTCAGAAATGGCGGTGGGTCAAAATTAAACCACCAGGAATTGGACCGCAGATTTTAGCTCATATTTTCCATTTACCAGGGTTGAATTTTGGGTACCCATTTTTGACCCGCGGCCAAATAGAAATCAAGCATACAAAGGAGCAAAGCGGTTGGGGTTGGAAAAACAAATACTGAAGATTGTGAGCTTGGAAAGTTTTAAAGCCATGGATCATCCACCATTTGGAGAATTTGGCACTGCCAAAAATCGCGGACGAAACGAGAAAAATCAAATCAGGCAAGAAACTTAAAATGAAAACAAGCGCAGGAGTTTCCGCTTGCATCGAACCAACATGCTGACAAATGGAGCTTAAGCATGTAAAGGAGTGAAGTGCTTGGAGCTTGGGGATGACACTTGGGGTTCAACGAAGTAGATGCCCCTAATCTAGGTTGTATATAACTTCCGTGCCTCCAAACATCATACCTACAAATCCCCCCGGTCAGGCGCGCCTACCTCCGAAACCTATACTTTCAGGCACCCCTATTTGGCGGTGGTGGAGTGGTTTGGATCCGAAGCACTGCTGGTTTTGGAATATGGGAACCACCCCATCCATAACCTCCAAACCCCAATCCAAGGCACCAATAAGAGGGAAACTAATCAGTGTGGGTCAAAGATAATTACCCAAAATGGAGCCCTGAAAATATGGACCAAAACTTGCGGTCCAATTCCTGGTGGTTGAGTTTTGACCCATGCCCCAATGGTCACCACCCACAAGAAACCCCGGTCCCCTCACAGCACCTGGACATTTGTTCCTCTCGTGAACGGAGCCAAGCCTTCAGGACCCCGTCGTCCCCGCAGCTCAGCACCATCTTTGACCCTGAGCCTGCGAAGCCGTGGTTTGGACATGCGGTGAGCTTGCCGCGCAGGACAGCCAAAAGGAAGGCCGCAACGAAAGCCAAAAGAAATCAAAAGGAGCCACCACAAGGAAAGCCAAAGGAAAAGTAAAGGAAGAGCGTCACACAAGGAAGCCGAAAGGAAGGGCGCCAAAAGGAAAGCCACAAGAAAGAGCACCAAAAGGCAAGCCAAACGAAAGTGCAGCAACAAGGAAGACAGAAGGAAGAGCGCCACGCGGAAAACCCAAAACCGCAGTTCATGCCAAAAGGAAGAGGGCCACAAGGAAAACTAAAAGGATAAATACCACCGCAAGGAAAGCTAAACAAAAGTGCAGCAAAAGGAAAGCCCAAAGAAGAGCAAGCGCTGTAAGGGCTATATGGCTATGTCGTGTGTTGGGATACACTGCGCTGCGCACGTGCTGCGCAAAGCAAAGCTCGGACGTTCCGCGCAGCCAAGCTATGTTGACACGTGCTGTGAAGCAATACGATGTTGAGACGACTAGGCTGCGCAGCAAGGCTATGTTGAGACGCTCGCAGCAAAGCTATGTAGACACGCGCTGTAAGGCTAAGATACCAGCAACGCTGCGCAGAAAACAACCATGCTGAGATTCGCCCGCTGCGAAGCAACGCCATGTTGACATGCGCTGCGCCGCAAAGCTTTGCGGCTGTGGGTCAAAAATACGTACCCAAAATGGAATCCCTGCAAATGGATTCCAAGGGCCAAAACTTCTTTGGTCCAATTCCTGGGGTTGACCCAATACCCTTGTGAAGACGCGCTATGAAGCAGGACGTTGCTGAGCCGCTCCGATCTCCCCGCGGCCCGATCTCCCCGCGGCCCGATCTCCCGGCGGCCCCGCACCTCGGATCAGCACTCCCCGGGCGCCGTCAGGGTGCGCGTGCGCAGCGCTGCCCATGGGCTGCAGGCGCTCGCCCTCCAACTTCCAGGCCTCGACTCTTTGGGTTTTGCTGAAGTGGGGCGTGGGGGGTGGGTGGGGGCTGGTGGTCAAATTCCAGTTGCTCAGGGCCCCTGTCAATGGGGGATTCCATGCCCTCTAGTTTTTCTACTTGGGGGACTACGGGGAAGAAACTTCAAGGGGGCTTGGGGCGTTCCCATTGTGGACTGTCATGCCGGGTCCATGCCAACTTTGTTTTCCGACAACTTGAAATACCCTCACTGCTTTGCGCAAACATGGATGCGGATGGGTCGGAAACACATGGAGAATAAACAGCATGCTGTCTGGCCAGCCGAACTCATGTAGTGGCACCTCTCAGGCGTTCGACTCTCTCACCACACCTTGACATGGCCGTCATCCCCGCAGCTCGCGACATAGCCTGGCATGGGGGGTGCCATTGCGAAGGAAACCACGACCATCTTGCATATCTGGCATGTCATCATGAGGACTTGACAATGAGCCCGGGACCTGCTGACGAGTTGAATGTGACAAAGGGCCTTGTTTGTTTTGGGGCGTCTCCTTTTTTCCCCCCTCCCCCCCTCCAATCCCTACGTTGCATGGACAGTGTGCGCCAATCGCAGGAGCAAGGCTAGGCTCTACCCTACCGACATTTCCTCCGTGAGCATCCCACCTAAAATGGCAACCTAAAATGACCCGAAGAGCTGATGTTTAAAAGCACCCAAAGGGGAAACTTTCGGACGCCCTCGGGCCTGAAGCTACGTCGTAGTGCATGGCACGGCTCCAGCCCTGGTGCGCCGGCTGCGTGTGCAACGCCTGGCGCGAAGGGGTGGGCCCTTATAGAAGGGGAAAAACTCTGGGCGGGTTGCTTGAAGGGCTAAAACCGTGTGTGTGTGTGTGTGCGCGTGCCTCTGCGTATATGTTTCTTGTTTTGTCAGTTTGCTTGCTTGCCTGCCTGCCTCCCTCCGTGCTTGCTTTGTTTTTGTTGTTTGTTCGTGTTGGTTGGTGTTGCTAGCTTTGTTTTGTTTTGGTCTGATTTGTGTGTGTGTGTGCGTTTGTGTTTGTGTGTTTGTGTTTGTGTGTTGGTTGTATGTGTCTGCGTGTCTGCTTGTTTGCGTTTGTTTGTGTTTGTTTGCTTGCTTGCTTGCTTGGTTTGCTTGCTTGCTTGGTTGCGTGCGTCTTTGTTTGTTTGTTTGATTGTTTGTTCGTTCGTCTTTGGTTGGTTTCGTTGGTTGTGCAGTGTTTTTTGTTTGTTT